TAACAACATCACATCCCTTTGGTTGAAAGAAATTTTGAGTTGAGAATGCTTCTAAAAAAATCATTTCAATCAACAAACACGTACAAATAACAAGAAAGAAATGCGACTTTCTCTAAAGTTCTCTGGCGTCATCAATAACTTACTCTATAGAAAAAAAAAAAAACAAAAAAAAAAAAAAATTCTGGAACTTGTTAGACTTGTAATGAGATCAACAATAATATTTTTTTCTTTTTCTTTTTTCAGTTACATATTAATCTTTCAGGGGCACGATGAGATATATTAAAGTCTACGGCTATTAGAAGATTTTTACTTGACTATTTTCTTCCCTTTCTTTCTCAAACCTAACATTAGAACTATGTAGATTATACGTTACAGTTAGGATCGAAAGGATTACTTTTGCTTTATTATCAATTGATGTTCGCGAATGGATCTGAGGATTTCCATTTGCGGTTATATTCTAGAAATTTATATAAAAATATTAAAATTTGCGTACACTATCTAGCATTCTGGTTAGGCATTGACGAGCGTCAAGCATCGTAGACAAGCTGGCGGCAGGCGATATTAATTGATTTAACTCAAGTTGGCTTAAGCTTATTACACCCATCACCGAAGGATGAGGGATGCATTCATTTTGTCAAAACGGTCGTAACGTGTAGAAGGAAGCATCGGAGACCCCACAAAGCACATAAATTGTAAATCGATTTAAGCATGTCCGTCTATCCATCTATGTAATGTCTGTAGGAAAGCATTCTTCTGGCCGCAAAAATGTAGATAACAGTGGAAGTTGTTGCACGCAGGTAGACGGTGAAGGAGGGTATAAAAGATTCGCTCCCGGCCGAATTTAATTTTCTTACTTGTTTTTCATTTTATTTAATTTTCTAAAAGCCTATAATTTAAAGATGAAAACAAAAAAAAACTTTTTCATTCAAGTCTCACGTTCCCCTGTTTTATTATTTCATTCTTCTTCTTTTTTTTCTATTTTCATTTTGTACTCTTATTCTTTTTTTTTAAATTCATTTAACTTTTTTATTGGTTTTTCTGTTTTTTTTTCAATTCATTTGTTTCAACACAGTGTTCGTAGTATGTTTGTTGTGGCTTTTGATATTTATTAAAAGTGCTTAATATTTTTATAGCTTCAAAGTATATTTTTTGCACGTCATATTTCTCGCATTTGAATCGCGATGAAAATTCTAAAACCTTAGATAAGAAAAAATGATTATAACGAGAAAATGAATTCAGAGAATTCTGTTTCGGGTCTTAAATGACGAATCTTGGATACCCATCAATTGTAGATCAGATGTACAAATTTATTAAATGCTCCGCCTTCAGGGGACATAAATGAGAAGCTTGTTTAGCATACAGCAAGTTATTGCCATGTGCGGATAATAAAATGCATGACAATTTTCTCTCTGCGTTTTCAACTTCAACATAAGGCGTGACTTTATCATAGAATCCATAATTTTTTTTTTTCATAATGAAATTCGTTTTATAGTTTGTGATAAGGAATGCATATAAGCGGGAGAGGCATCGATTTAGTGTTGCAGGCGCAATGACACAAATGATATACCTTTAACTTGTAGATTGTAATTGCGAGTAAAAAAAAAAAACAAGAAAAACAAAAAAAAAAAAAGGAAACAGAAACTCAAACTGAAACTGAAACCAGGAAAGAACTGAAAATCTAACTACAAATCATTTTAACACTTCCCCATATGAATTGCTTTCTATTTCAATAACTTGAACTCAAGCAAACAAAACTGTATATTTTCATGAGCTGGAAGGCAGTTAAAGGCCTGCCAAATGAAACGAAAAATAAAAAAAAGTAGTAGTAGTAGTAGTAGTAGTAGTAGTAGTAGTAGTAGTAGTAATAGTAGAAAGAAATAAGAAGGCAAAGTGAAAGAAAAGAAGAAACAAATCATAAATATAAACCTAATCTACTCTTTGTAATCCGCGGAGATTTCTATAGAATTTCTGCTTTATTTTAAAAATTTTCAAGGCATAATTTATGACTTGAAAGCAAATGTTTTTTTTTTTTTTTTTTTTTTTTTTTTTTTTTATTTGTTTGAGCTTTCTTTTTTATATTGGCCGTATAAGCCTTTAGGAGATTTATTTTTATTTTCTTATTTTTTTTTTTTTTTTTATTATTATGATTTCCCTTAGCAGATTTTTTTTTTTATTTTCATTTAAAAAAAAAACAAATATAATTTGTAGAGAGTCTCTCTCTCTCTCTCTCTCTCTCTCTCTCTCCATATCTATATAAAGTTTTGAATGAGTTTTTACGTAACGTTTATGAGTTAAATGGGTGTTGATGACTTAAACATTACAATGCATTGCTTATACCTTTGGTGTTGTTGCGATGAAATCGATGAATTGAAAATGGTTTCCTTTAACGGCCATAGCTACATTCGCAAATACTTATATATTGTTATTGTTTACCAACAAATCCCTTTTCGCTTTAGAATTTGTTTTCTTCTTTTTTTTTTTTTTTTTTTTGTTCCTCTTCTCCAGAGCAAAGCAAGATTTTCAAGTGACTGTTGTTGTTATTTGTTATTACTTTACTTATTGTTACAAGTGTTTGATAAGCGTAGAGCTTGCTGCTGTTGCTAAACACCATCACAATGATGAGTCTATTGTTGATGAAGTTAAAGTCTTCAGTACTCTTGATTTTGTTACAAAGAAGGGAAAGACAACAAAAAAAAAAAAATCAATCAATAGTTAATGGGAAGCTTTTATTAATGAAAAAGTTCTTGTCTTTTCTGTTACTGAAGCTTAGATTTTTTTTGCATTTTTTATATTAAGGGTAACTTGGTAACCAGGGTTTACGCAACTGAAAACGTAACCATGCGTTCGGAAATGTTGATAAAGTGTAAAGTTGCATATGCTTTTTTTGTTGTTGTTTTTTTCGTACTAGTTGAGGCAAAAGTAAATAAATGCAGATGCAGGAAAACGAAGAAATCGATTAAGCTCTCAGAAGTCTATCATTTTTCGCTTTTTTTGTTGAGAAGAAGAACGACTTGTTAAAGACAATGTTGAATTAATGAAAGTGAATTCTGTCCTACAAGACGCGAGCTCATCAATTGTCAATCATTTCAATTTTTGCACAACTCAAATGTTCGGACCGAGGAGACATACTGACGCCGGGCAAGCCAAGTAGTCTAACTTAAATGTCTTACGGTCTTACTTTGATGAAGAACACACATACAATATTTGCCATGGTTGCTCCCATTGAGTGATGCGCGAACGTAGTAATACGTAGTAGTATATGTTACGTTTCTATTCCGTGAAAAAGAAGAAGAAGAAGCTCTTGTTTTATAGCTGATTATGTCCTCAAAGTCAATTTAAAATGTTACCAAATTCGTACATATTTCTATGAAAAGTCGAAAGATTATATAAAAGGAATTGAGAAAGAAGAAGCAAAATATTCTTCTGAGAATAATCCATTAAAAAAATCGATATTACATTTTCAAAGATAAAACGAAATTTTAAAACGTTTTCAAGACAAATAAAACGGAAATTAGTTTAAAACGGAAATAATATTTTACTTGACCCACTTTCTCTTATAATCGATTGGTTAGATTTAAAGGAATAAAAAACAAACAATAATAGTAATGAGCAGTTTCGGCGAAGTCTTCTAGTTAAACATTTAATTTGTAATGACATTAGAAATCCATTTATCTCTGCAACTCTAGGGAGCGAATACTTCCCTATTACATTAGAGAAAAATTCTTCAATTAGTGGGTGAAATAAAATAACAACAAAAAAAAAAAAAAGCAAAAGCTTAGAATGCATAAAAACCCTGCAAACTATATTATAATCATTTATTAGTTGGGTGTATACGGCATGTTGTTCGAGACAACCTTACTTTTTTACCCCCGCAACTGGCCTTAAACTAAATGGAAAAATTCTTGCTCTATATAGTTTTTCTTTTATTAGTGTCATGTATTTTTATAGTTCAAAGGACATTTGAATGATTGAGTGAGCGCATGACTTCATCCGTTTTGGGGTAATTTTTTTTTTTTTTTTTTTTTTTTTTACTGTTCGAAATGCGTGTATACGTGTAAGAGTATTAATAATGGAATTGTATGGCGTGGTCTCATATTTTTGATGTTCTTCTTCTACTCATAGAAGTGTATCAAATTACTTGGACACGTATGCAGGAGAAGAAAATGCTGAAGAACTCACAAAAAACGATGCCTTCTTCATAGTCATATATGTGTGTTTCTGTATATGCGTAAGTTAGTTTGTCAGGATGTTAGCTAACGCTCTTGCAAGTTGTCTAAGAGTTTTGCTACTGTTATGTTCTATACTGTTCTACATAGATGCACGTGCTTATATGTTCAATTGAGTTCATTTGTATACATATCTATATATACGTATATGTATGCCCATAGTGGTTTTCATATTGTCTATGTAACTTTTTTGTTTATGTAACTTTCTACAACTGTACTAATAATGTCGATCGTATACATACGCGTACGTGTAGATGGTATGACTAGAAAGTAGAATCGATATTTATTGGGTTATTAGCAAAATTTTTGTATTAAGTTAAGACCCAAATGAATAAATAATCTGTTGTAAGCACAAGAGCGATGCTGAACTTCGCACCTGATAAACCGAGTGATAAGAAAAACATTTTATTTACGATAAAAACTTCATATATAGATCTTGCGACATCTAATAGACCTTCAGGCCGTTCACGCCGTTCCCTTAGAGTGCGTTCATAAATTTTTGGAGGATTTTTGGAGGTAAGAAACCAATTTACGATTAAGGACTAGGATACTATTGATGAAATAAATGCGGTCGCTCAGATCAATAATTTAGGAGATAAGTAGAGAGGAGTGTTTTAAAGTCTTGGACTTACTTACCTAACTTTTGAGGCCTTTTTCTGCGGTTTTGTGAAATAATTATTATTAACCTGCTTTCACCAAAAATTTACCAAAAAATCTATCAAAAATGAAAATTTAATGATTTATTTATTTTTTTTTAAATTTTTTTCTTTACAGATGAATTTCACTTTGCTAGAAAATCCGTATATTTTTACTAAAGTAAAGAGTAAGTACATATATGACTTCGCTATGTGCACATGTGTGAATAACTTTAATTAAAATTTACGAATTTCATATTAATTCAGAGAAAGATGAGCTTATTACGTCCGCGATTTTTGATGAAATTCTGTTCGTGCAACCATGCATCTTTATCATCCATATATCTATCTAATCGTGTACATATACATATGTATATGTGCGAATTTTCATACACTTTATTATCCCTCTTACGCTGTTACGGTGTGGGCGGCAAGTTGATATTTCTGTTACTAAGTTGTCAGTTAGTCAGTCAGTCAGTACTACGTGTGAGCACAATACACCACATCCAGGTATACCAAGTTCAAAATAATTATGTTGTGCAGCTGATATTTTTCGAATTTTTTCCCTGGCCTTATGCGGATTTGCCAACAAAACAGAAAGTCAACAAGCACGTTGGAAAGCAAACGTAGAATTCAGTAAGGCAAAGGCACGCATTACAGACACACACAGTAGCAAACCAAAAAAAAAAAAAAAAAAAAAAAAAAAAAAAAAAAGGAACAAAACCTTAGTCATTTACCATATTTCCACAAGCGGAATATAGGTTTTCGAGGCGCCCATACGAAGGCAGAATTTTAAACGCACTAACCTATCAGTCTGCATGCATAGCTAGCTTGTGAGAACAGTGTAATTACAGCTACGGGTAGATTTTGATATATATTTAAATGCTGAAGGGCTTCGAATAAGGGTTGAAAACCCTTTGATTGATGAATTTTATAAATTAAAGAATTGTTTTGCCAGACTTTTTCTCCTTTTCAAAATAGATTACAATGATTATCTATCGAATACTTAAAGTTTCAAAGTTCTATAACAAGAAAGATTTACTTTTGCAAACTGAAATATATATATATATATATATAGAATGGAAAATTAAAAAATCCTAAATATAAAGCGCACATTACATTACGATTCGCGTACATGCCCTGGCTTGTCGTATTTAATACTGGGAAAATATTGAATTTTCAAAATTCTTCTAATGCATAACAACACACGTCGGATTTCCCCTCGCGTACACATATATTTTTGAGTGAGAGCGAGTAGAGCCTGAAAGCGATATATTCATATAACTACATGTGTTGTGTTTGTCTGCTTATCAGCCAGTTTTTTGCATGAACAAATTAGTTATGAAATCAATCAAATCAACTATAAGTCCGCAATATACTACATAAACCAAATGAAATATATAAATGCGCGTATCTACTATATACTGTTGAATTGAAGACAGGAAAAAAGAGAAAAATCAAAAAAGAAAGAAAATTAATTTCGGCTGGGGTCGAATATCGCATACTCATCACCGCAACATTTCTTTCGGTCGAGCATAATTAGCTTAGCATTCACAAGCTTGGGTTCTTGCATTTTGTTTTTTAAACCCTAACCTAACTTGACATCCACATTGATTAGAATGTTTACGGATAAATTACTTCACTTCCTCGTGATGTCCCTCAAATGTAATTTAGAATTAACCCATTTTTTAATATCCAACTGCGCGCAAAAGCTTCGCTGATATAAGGTCTCTGAAACTTCCTTTTTGCGGCAAACGAAACGAATATTCCTTTCGCCATAAAGTGTGACCACGCGGAACTCATATTAAATAGTTACTTATATGTATTCAGATCCCATGACGTCGGACATAATTTGCTCCTTTAATAAGTGAAGATTTTCTTCTCAGTTCAAGTGTTAAGTTTAACGATGACATTTGAAAAAAAAAATCTGAAAAATAAAAAATCTTACGTTCTCATAATAATCGGAGGAAAATTGAAGCTCCGTGTAGAACTGATATATGGTTTTCCTATTTTTACAAGCAAGCTTTCTCCAATTGATTCAGGGGAAATTGATCAGATCCTATACTAGTAATCGCAGATGATATGTTGTATTTTTACAGTCTCTCTATGTTACATACGTGACGCTCAATTCATAATCATTTTGTGTATGCCCTCATACTTTTGTTCTCAGTCTACAGGACAAATTCTATTGAAAGTGGATTCCATTGAAAATGGTACCACTGCTAGGACCGTTTCTAGGACAACGTTTGATTTTGGAAAAGTCGTTCTATGAACAAATTTGCAAATTTGAAAATTTCAGCACAGAATTCACTCAGCATAGTAACTGACAAAGATAAAGCTTCAAGGGATAATTAAGTGGATAGAGACCATTGATTGCATAGCATCATGAATTATTGTTAAGTGGTCCATCAGCTGAATTCCCCAGAGGTTTTCTTTCAACAACTTCACGGTTATCTTCCAAGATGAATTTGTGATAGGATTCCTTCAAGTTTTCACACATGACTCGCAAAGGCGGGAACGGGAATGGTCTAGTCGGAATGGGAATATATTTTTCTCTTCTATAAGATTTTTTTACGAAGAAAAATCTTCTCTTCGCTGGAGACGGTAGGTGAATTAAAAGCATCCTGCTTTCATATGAAAGCAGCCTACGCCAACCTATTGCGGCATGTTCCAAGCATGGTCTCACCAGCGACACACACAGCCCTTTGACTATATAAGGGAACTCAACTTCTTTATGCTGATCAATACTCAAGAATTGTCAAGTATTTCCCTAACCGTAGACGTACCGGTTATGCGATAAGCGATCCTTTTCACGTCTGCGTTATGCGCATTAAATTGAACGTCCTACACTCTGTTGTAGGCGTTGACATCGATTATCTTTTTATTTCACACTTGAGCAGACCGAGCGGCCGCATAGGACATCGAATAAGAATACATTATATAATATACGCTGAACATACGTTGAATTTGGTTCAAATTTTGCGATCGCAAACTGTCTCCGACGTGTAGGTTCTTCGATGTCCGCTTCCCAGGCCTACAAATACAAAAAGTGAATTTTTTAAAATTTCAAAATTATCTAAATGCTTTATGTTGTTTTTGTTGCTCTTGAAACTTTCTCATGATTTGAGGAAAATATGCGAAATTTATTTGCATTCCAAGCAGGCAAACTTTTTAATGGAGACTCACTCACGCCATGAGAGTGAGCATTGTGTTTATTCTTTACGTTATTCACCAATTCATGTTAAACATTAAAGCTTTCAAAGATAATGCGAATATTTTTTTTTTACTTCCAAAATAAATAAGAGATAAAATTAAATGTGGTCAACTTTAAAAGAAAAAAAAAAAAAAAAAAAAATTATGAAAAGTAAAAAAAAAAAAATAATAAAATGCGACCGGAAACTAAAGTGATTTATATGTAAATTTTTCTAAGGGAGGAAACCTGCGAGCAGAACGTTAATAAAAACATTAAAATTAAAACGCTATACACTTAACTGAAAAAGCCCAAAAGCAATAAAGAGAGTAAACAGACTCAACTGACAAGCCAGCACAACTAATGCACAGACATAGGCAGGCTACACATTTTAGTCCTTTCACAACAGCATAATGGTAAAAGATAAACAATTGTGCTAGAATTTGACTTTCGTTAAATATGCAAAAAAATAAAAAAAAAATAAACAAAAAAGAGGAAAAAAAAATAATAAAAAAAAACAACAAAAATTTACGAGAAAATTCCTGGATCGTAAACATTGTATAACACGTCGGCTTAAGTGAGAATAATTCAAGGTGATGCTTTAATTGAAATATGCTTTTAGGCGTTTTCTCTGCCCTGAATATATTTCATTATTATTAATTTTGCAAATTCTTTCATCCTCCTAATTGTTGTCCTCCATCATTTTAAATATCGCAGTAAATGCCCAAATATATATATATATATATATATATATATATATATTTCTGTTTTTTTAATTTGAGAATATATTTATATTAAATTAGATTAGAACATATTTATAATTTTAATAATTTGAGGTTAAGGGTAAAATTTTGAAGAAGACCGCAGCAAATCATAGTGTGCTCTGTGGGGCTTTAAAGATTTCCCCATCAATTTCTCCCCGATTTCTGATCAATCGTCAACATTAAGTACGGTGTGACGTTATCAGCGTGAAATACGTAACTTTTTTATCTGCTGGCATATAGGCGTTTTTTTTTTTTTCTCCTTAAGTTGCTGAACATATTCGCGCTAGACGTTGGCGGTAAATCTTTGTAAGATCTCATGCTCTTGCAATCGCGCCAGTTCACTTTAGTTCATTCCTTGTCAACACGCATGGCCGAAATGAAACTGAGTCGATTATGTTTCGATGGGGCTTCGCTATACCGTCTCGTTATCCTCAGATTTCCTTTCATTTTAGCGAAGTTGTGATTGCCTGGCATTATTTCTCAAATTCTGGCGGTATGTTATACACTTTTTCCACGCACATTTTGCCTATTGAAACATCACGCAGAACCGATAAAAGTTCATATGCCCTTTGCCTTATTCTTAACTTCTGCCTCTGTTCAAATGAAATTGTTTTGCGTAACGTCTACTTATCCTTACTTAGTTTGTCTATATGTAAGACTCTGATGATTTGCGGCACATTTAGTAAATTTAAGCGCCAGTCTTTTTATCGCATTTTATCGCAATTTCTGGTTACTTCGTACACTAACGTCACATTTTGTGATAGGAAGCCTTATTGCCTTTAGATTTGCTGTTATCTCCCTCATCATCTATTGGTCTGATATTAAAATTCTTTGTGTTTGAAAAATAACGATTGAAAATGGCGAAAAGGACTTCTTGTGCATTCTCAATTGATTTTCGTGTAGAGTGCACCTTGAAAAATTGGCAATACTTTATCTTATATATATATATGAGCTGATGCGGAACTGAGGAAGGATGTGATATTCTTCATCTTTCAACCTCAGCGATCGCATGGAATGGATGTTGATATGCAGTCGCAATAATATGTTAAAGACGTACTTACACTCACAAAGATTTCGAAAACTGTTCATTTTTCTAAGTTTTGTACAAGAAATGAAAAATAATTCATAATTTGGAAAATGCGGCAAGATCTCTTAGTATATGCGTAAGTGTGTGTGTTCTTTATGAACTCATTTGCAGGCAGGCCCTTTTGCAATTAACAAATTATTGCGCGCTCTTTACATTTTTGCATCACGTTATACAAAAAAAAAAAGAAGGAGCAAATGATGGAAAACTTGAGGTTATAAACATTTAAGATACGCAATTTAAATACGCTTCAAGTGCGCGCAAGAGAAATTTCTTTTAACCAAA